ACCGTGGAATATATATTTCTACATCATAAATAAGGTTTTCTACGACTACTTGAGAAGGGATCATTTGTCCTTTAAATGTAACAATAACTGTGCATGTAGGAATCTCTTATTCCCTATTTTTCCTTCTCATTCTCTTAAAATTTCTGTATTTAAAAGTATATTCTAATTTAATATCATTAAATAGGTTTAATGGTCTGACTTAATTTCCAATTCTGTTAAGTCAATATCATCCTGTTCAATAACTCCTTTTTTGGGTAAAGAATATGGGTACGTATACTTTGTATCATTTTTCTTTTAACATTTCTGATTTTATTAGTAAATTACCGTTACTGTAAGAATTTAATTCAATTTTTGATTTTATTTATTCCTGCAACATCCATATTTACAATATATATATTTTTTAATTTCTGATGAAGTTGACCAATATTCCCTACAGTGTTCTATACGAAGACATAATATGGACCAGCTTCCGATGAAGAATTAAAATTGATCGGCCTTTTGAAATAAATAATGTTTGTACTTACCCCTGTTTGATTATTGATTTGTGTAAATTGTTTGTGTCTACCTGATCAATTAAACATGGTCTTTTATTAAGACTTTCCTAGTCTGTGTCCATAATTCATGTACCTACTGTTTTGATCTATTTTATTTTTTTCTGTATCTGGTGCATCACTTTTAATATTTTCAGACATTTTTTTAACTCCGATCACCAAATGATTTTTCTAATTACCTTAATTAAACTTGTTCGATATACGAATTCAGCTGTATATCTAGAAAGACCGTATTCGAATGTTAATTAATTGTAATTTAACTATTAAATACTATTTAATCTGCACAAATTTATTAAAAACTAATAGGAGAACTTTGAATTATCAAGTTTAACTTTGACAGTTGTAATAAGAAGTATATTCAGCAAAAGTTTATACGATAGGAATGAAAGTGAGGACATTCGAAGACAAAATATTTGCAGTTAATACATGGGCACAAAAAAAAATAGGATGGAATAACCACATTGAAAAATGGCGCTTAACAGAATATTAAGAATATCTTGAGACAAATCGTCAATGACCTAATAAATGCTGTTATGACAGAAGATACCGAAGAGTGAACAGACATTTTTCCTGTTAAGAAGAACGAAGAAGAACAAGTAGATGTACTCATAAAATTAATAAATGTTGCTGTTGATCTTTGTGATTACTTAGTAATGAAAACCTAGTATCTAGCAATGAAAACAGTTAAGGAAAACACACAACGAATTGCTCACCCGAACCAAGAAACGTCTGGACCATTTGAATGTTGAGCTGGTTTTTATTATTGATTAGCGCATCTATAGAATCTGACAATAGGAGACTATAACATCGAAAGCGTAAACATTTTTACATATCTAGGTTCACTAGTTACCGCAATGTCAACAATGCCAGTGAAGAAGTTAAGAGAAGAATACATATCACTAATAAAACATATAATGAACTAATTAAACATCTAAGATCTAACAATATCATCAGAAAAATCAAATGCAAAATATACAAAACCCTGATAAACCCGGTCCTTGTATACGTTTGTATACCTATTAGGTACGTTTGAACGAAAAATCCTTAGAGACATATATAAAGGGGTAAAGGAAAATGACATATGGCGCAGAAGATATAACTTTAAACTATACACAGCATACAATGAACCCGAGATCATAACATCCATAAAGATCGGACGTCTGCGCTGGATGGGCCATGTTGAACGGATGTTGGCGACTGAAACACCAAAACATACAATGAGCCAAAAACCAGTAAGGAGAAGGTCAAAGGGAAGACCCAAACTTAGATACATGGAACAAGTGGAACAAGATCTGAAAACACTTAGATTAACAACTGGAAAAACAAATCAAGAAACAGAACAGAATGGCGGAAAATCCTAGAACAACCCAGGATCCAGAAAGGGTTGTCGAGCTACTGATGATAATTAAAATTAACAAAACCAATAAAGATTTTTAGTATTTGTATATGACATTTGATTTTTCCATATAATAAATAGATTTTATAGCAATTTCAAGTTGTTGTGTGATAGACTTAAACAGCAAATTGTTCTTACAAATGATAAGCCGCTTTTCTTAACCATATTATTGTGAGGTTATTGTCAAAACCTCTATGAAATGAAGTGATTATAACTTAATTAAAATTGCAACTCAACAATATCATTCTAAAGTCGTCTATGAAATGTATAATATATGTGTGAATTGACAACATAAATGAGTCAGATAAAATTAAATTATTAGAAAGAATTTTACACCAAGTAACAAAAAACAAAATTTTTTAATTTATTTTTGTATTTTGAGAACGATTTCCGAAATAAACTTATTTTAAACTTCAATTGTGGATTATTCCCATTAAAATAGTCATTAATTAAAGATACTTAGTGTGAAATTAGTATAGTTTTTAGTATAGTTTACCTGATATTGATTACTCCAAACCCATAAGTAACATCTTCTTCTACTGTAGTATTAGTCTTTGGATCACATTTACTATAGGCTACACATCTTTTTAACCCCCTAGTAGACCCCTCACCGCATTGCTCCATGGCACCATAACTGCCGTTAGTCGCTTCTGTAACAACCTCTTCCAAGTCTTCTTCCAAGTTTCTATTGTTCGGCCTAGGAAAGATCTCTTCTATTTTCTTCCTAGTATCTTCATTAATTTCTTCTTTTTGACCGAACACACCGAGAATCAGTGATATACACAATATTGAATGTCGCATCTTGGACGATGTTATCGTATTTGTTGTTTGTATATAAGTGCAAGGTCAATATAAAGATGAATTAAGTGCACTAATCATATGGGAAATAAATTGTCTTGTTGTAGAATAGTTAACAAACTACTTTGAATGCATCTCCCCCCCATTTAGGCCAGCATGTGAACTTCAACCGTTTATATAATGTTTATTTTATGGAACACTTCGTAATTTAATAACAATTTTACAAAGAAGTATATGCTAAGAAGGGAAGACAAGAAAATACATCGCAGGAAGAAAAGAGAACACATAAAAAAAAGAACTCCAAGACATGGAAGAACTAAATAAACCATCAAAACCAGAAAATTCTACCAAAAACTTAATGAAAGTAGAAAAGAAATTAAACCAAGAACAATGATGTGCAGAGACAAAGAAGGAGATATAGTAACTCAACAGAGTGAGATACTACAAAGGTGGACAGAATTCTTTAAAGAAATGAAAAAAACGAAGATCCACTATATGATAAAATTATACTGGATCAAATGGATACCAGAAAACCAACCCCCCATTCAGTAATTGAAATGAAAGAAGCAGTTACCAGACTGAAAAACAACAAGTCACCTGGATTAGACCGGGGGAATGTAAAAACTACCGGGCAATAACGCTGCTAACTGTGGCATATAAAATACTGTCAAATATTGTGTATGACCGATTGAGACCATATGCGGAAGAAACAGTTGGGGGATATCAATGTGGTTTCTACAGGCAGAAGTCCACAGTAGATCAGATCTTCATCTTGAGGCAAACCTTAGAAAATACTAGTGAATTTAATATATACACACATCATCTATTCATTGATTTTAAGAGAGCCTATGATAGCATCCATCGAGAATTTCTGATCCATGCACTGAAAGGGTCTAATATTCCAACTCAACTCATTGATATAGTAAAAGAAACACTTAAAGTACAAAGCAAAATTCTAATTCAGAACGCACTAACAAATACAATCCATGTGAGAACGGGCCTACGACAGAGATATGCCCTATCCTGTATTCCATTCAACATCATATTAGAGATAATAATTAGAGAGTCAAAAGTCAACACCAGAGAAACAATAATAACAAAAAGTGTACAAATATTGGCATTTGCAGATGATGTTGATATCATAGCATAGCTAGAAGCGAAAGAGAGGTGATAGAAGCATTTAATGTGATAGAAAGAGCAACACAAAATAGTGACCAAATAAAAACCAAATACATGAAGGCCAGTAAATCGACAGGCCAAAGAAACCTACAGAATCTGACAATAGGAGACTATAACATCGAAAGCGTGAAACATTTTACATATCTAGGTTTACTAGTTACCGCAGATAACAATAGCAATGAAAAAGTTAAGAGAAGAATACATATCGCTCATAAAACATATAATGGACTAATGAAACATCTAAGATCTAACAATATCATACGAAAAACCAAATGCAAAATATACAAGACCCTGATAAAACCGGTCTTTGTATAGGGATCAGAGACATGGACACCGTCGAAAAGCGATGAGAACCTATTAGGTACGTTTAAACGAAAAATCGGGTAAAGGAAAATGACATGGCGCAGAAGATATAACTTTGAACTATACACAGCATACAATGAACCCGAGATCATAACATCCATAAAGATCGGACGTCTGCGCTGGATGGGCCATGTTGAACAGATGTTGCTAACTGAAACACCAACACATATAATGAGCCAAAAACCAGTAGGGAGAACGTCAAAGGGAAGACCCAAATTTAGATACATGGAACAAGATCTGAAAACATTTAAGATTGCCAACTGGAAAAAGAAAGCAAGGAACAAAACCAATAAAGATTTTTAGTATTTTTATATGACATTTCATTTTTCCATATAATAAATAGATTTTATAGCCACTTCAAGTTGTTGTGTGATAGACTTAAACAGCAAATTGTTCTTAATTACAAATGATAAGCCGCTTTTCTTAACCATATTATTGTGAGGTTATTATCAAAACCTCTATGAAATGAAGTGATTATAACTTAATTAAAATTGCAAGTTAGCAATATTATTTTAAAGTCGTCTACATTGAAATGTATAATACATGTTTGAATTGACAATATAAATGAGTCAGATAAAATTAAATTATTAGAAGAATTTTTCAGTTTCCGAAATAAACCTATTTTAAACTTCAATTGTGGATTATTTCCATTAAAATAGTCATTAATTAAAAATACTTATTGTGAAATTAGTATAGTTTTTAGTATACTTTACCTGATATCGATTTGTCCAAACCCATAAGTAACATCTTCTTCTACTATAGTATTAGTCTTTGGATCACATTTATTATAGACTACACATCTTTTTAACCCCCTAGTAGACCCCTCACCGCATTGCTCCATGGCACCATAACTTCCGTTAGTCGATTCTGTAACCTCTTCCAAGTCTGGAGCAAAGTTATTGTTCGTTATAGGAAAGATCTCTTCTATTTTCTTCCTAGTATCTTCATCAATTTGTTCATTTTGACCGAACACACCGAGAATCAGTGATATACACAATACTAAAAGTCGCATATTGGACGATGTTATAGTATTTGTTGTTTGTATATATGTACAAGGTCAATATAAAGATGAATTAAGTACACTAATCATATGGTAAATAAATTGTCTTGTTGTAGAATAGTTAACAAACTACTTTGAATTTTAAAGTACGGATTGTCTGCTGAAGTCTCTGCATCTCCCCCCCATTTAGGCCAGCAAATGAACTTCAACCGTTTATATAATGTTTATTTTACGGAACGCTTCGTAATTTAATAAAAATTTTATAAAGAAGTATCTAATTAAATATATTTACTAATAGAAAATATCATCAATGCGTATTCGGGTTTATCCTCGAATATAAAATTTAAAACGATTTCCATTTTTGTAAGCATTATTATCAGTTAATGTCTACCAAATTAGTAAATAATTCTCAATTTTGAAAATTGAGAATTAGGTGTGAAAACCTTTGGATTACATGGCAACCATAGTTAATTGTAATAATATAATGAGACAAGTTCGATGATATAGGATTTTACATAAATGGAACATACATCTTTCTTGCTCGAATGGAGGAGGACTTTATCCAACGATTAGAACCAGACAGTTGCCTGCATTCAATATATATTCTAGTTACTGATTTATTCGTTGTACGATCATCATCTTTATGGTTTTGTATATAATCTGCAATAAATGCAAATATATAAATCATTTTCTTGTTTGATAAAAAAAACTGTAGTTATAGATGACACAAATTAATTAAAAAACTTTTTGTCTGGATATGGGTAAAAAGTGCAGTTTGGCAAATCTACTTTTTCGAATGAATTTCTATGTGTAGTTTGGTCCTTTGTTTGGGAAGTATATTTAATACAGTTTATATGCCTCATTCACACTTTACCGCGTAGATCACATTAAAGAAATTTCTGGAAATATGCATGGTGTACTCTTTGGTACACAGTTAAAACAAGTTTAACTTAACAATAAAAGACGACAATGAAGCTAAGTCGTAAGGCAAGGCGAAGTATATCAGTATGTTTCTTTTGTGGACTTAACTATGCTTATATCTATCTTCTTCTGTCAAACTACATATCTATCGTAAATATTGCACGGTGTTCATCTATTTGCTTTATTTCTGATAAATTAGTGATTATATTAGCTTTTTAGCTTTCCACACTTCTAGCTTTCTTTTAGTTCTTTTTAATTTGTGAATATGTAGCTTCAGTTTAAATAAATCCTCATACCCAGTGATTTCAAGAAGGTTTAAGGTAGGTATAAAGGATCCTCTTCTTTATATACTGTACAGTCCTTCCCTCTATTAGTTTTTGTCAGTTTCTTATCTACTAAGATCGCTCTATGATCAATTCAATGTTACTGTTATTGTATATATTTTGAATTGTTTTAGTGTTTGCCTTCTTAATGCCTCACTTCTATTTTCTACTACTTCACTGTCTAGTGTCTACTAGCGACTCTATATAATGGTAAATAGGTTATGCCTCTTTAATTCCTGACATTTCCAAAACATTTCGGAAGAAATTTTAGGGTCGCACGTGACCTCAGTCGCACGTGACCTCAATATAGTGATTTTTGTTTTGTTATAGGAAATTATGATTTCCAATGTTGTGTTAGACGTAATCACAATATTTTTTATCATAATCTACCTCCTTCCTCTCCTCTCCCATATTTATTACCCAGGGGATGTAGAGGAAGAAAGGAAAATACTTTAGATGAAAATACTCTGAATATGAAATACTCAGCTCGAGTCAAAAGAGTTAGGATATTAATATTAAAAAAGAAAAATATACCGAAAAATCTGACTAAGAACGACTACACTGCATTAGATGAGAAAGGGACATTTTTTTCTATTTCCTATTCATTTATGTTTCTCTATTCTTTCGTATGGAATAAAATTCATGGACAATATTTTATTGTGGCTGCCATTCGAAACCGGACTACAATTAACAAAAAGGTTTATAATTATCTGGAAATACCAGGTTTAGTCGACAGACTTATTTGCATCTCTCTTTAATTGAGTCCATCTTGTGTGACATCACGTAAGATTTGATATTGAAATTATTTTTTCACATTTTGGTAATCATAAAAGCGAAACCGATTAAAAGGTCAACAAGTGTTATCACAACTACTAAAATTCTTATAATATATATAGCAGTGGAGAGTTTGTAGATTTAGTTTTAACATTTTTATATGTGGCAGTGGCGTTACAGTCTGGGGGTATTAACTCGTTTTGTTCTGGATCACATGCCTTTTATATGAATTATAGGATGATTATCTTTTACTTGTTATTAACTAGGTTTCTTACTTTCTGTTTAAGTGGTGTCTATTAATAATAGTATAAAGTATTAATTTAATCGTGTAAAAATTCGTAATTTATGAGTGACCTACCTGCACAGCAATTTAATCTTAGTATAGAGTCTATTATGCTGAATAAAGGGGTTATAAGGGTAAACTATTTCTGTAGTAACCAATTCTTATACCAGCATGAATAAAAGCAAACGAAATATGGGAATAGACCAGTAAATTAAAAAATGTTGTGACATGTCAAACTAAACTGAAAACTTGGGTGATGTCTGTACTGGTTTAAGATTATCAGTCTGAGTTTGCCTCCACTAAACGCAGGACAGTATGGAGAAGTTTTGATCCCCGACACGGCACGTCCCATTGACTAATAGGGAACGTCCTATGGTTATAAGACCATAGAACAAGTGTAAATAAGTATAACAAAATAAATACCCCCGGATCTATTACGAACATGACATACCTACTTTAGATTTGTTAACACATACAAACACGCTTAAAGAATACACTTACACTGAGTACGCAGAACTAGATATTACGATGGAAGAGTTTGATAACGCCTTTTTACAAGATAGAGTATACCAGGGTAAAGTAAAAGGTTCTTCGTTTGTCGGCAAATAGTTTATATGTAGCAGGTCTCTTAAAGTCAACGGATTTCCGTCAACACTTCATGGATCTTTTATTCGACCTTAAGTATATATATATATATATATATATATATATATATATATATATATATATATATATATATATATATACTTTGGAGGGTAACTTTCGGGAAAGCGTCAAAACAAGGATCAGCTAGAGATGGTATAAGCCAGCTTGGTGTAGAACTTTATTCTATATGTGAAAGTTCTACACCAAGCTGGCTTATACCATCTCTAGCTGATCCTTGTTTTTGACGCTTTCCCGAAAGTTACCCTCCAAAGAATTGTATTCTTAGCGTCGTTACACACACTCTATATATATATATATATATATATATATATATATATATATATATATATATATATATATATATATATATATATATATATAACTAACGAAGAAAAAGATACCTCAATCTCTGCTGGAAAAAATCTAAACAGACTAAGAAACATGAATCGGGGCCTGAGGACGCAGGAACGGAAAGTACTCCACTGTGAGAAATCATCGAGTTCAGAACATACCTGGACTTTCTCAAAGAACGATAAATCTATAAACGCTTTCTAAAACTTAACTTCAGGCCTTTTTTCAGGCCTGAACAGATCGACCAGAGAAAGGGAAAGCATCGTCTTCCTCACAATGACAGCAACCGCGGAAACGAAAGGAGGGGCAACTGAAAAACTCCCTAAACGACAATTTATCTCTTAGGATTAAAAGTGAAGCCAATAACGATGGCTCTACCAAAGGATCTGGGGGAAAGACGGGCAAAATTGGCGGTATAAGATCAGTCTCAACTACGGTACTGTATTGCTCAAACGAGATGAAATCCAGAGCGTGTATTGTTCTCAGAAAAGATAGTAATCACATCTTAATTTTAGGTTTCTGCACAGAAGATGTGACCGAAGGTCAAACCACTATAAAGGAGGAAGCAGTCAGACGTGATATAGTCGTATATATAGCATACTTCACAAGAGATAGGGCAAATACAGATCCCCTTCCTACGGCGATTTGGAAAATGGTCAAACACTGTACAAGGAATAACTTACCAAGTCATAATCGGCTGCGATGCCAACGCCACATTGTACGCTACAGCATATGGTATTGGGAAGCAAAAGAATCCATGAACGAGGTGGGTACCTTTTTAACTATATTCTAAGAGAAAAACTCACATTGAATAATAAAGGCAATAAACCTATCTTTATTAACAAAAAAGTCAAGACGAGTATTAGTATAACTATAACTACTGGACAAATTAGCAACAAAATTGTTAACTGGCATGTGTCGAAAGAGCCGTCGAGTTCGGATCACAAACACATTGACTTTACCTTATATATAGGTGAATCACCCTTAATTAACTATATTGATCCGAAATTTATAAAATAGGAAGAATATCGTACGGATTTGGAAGCAAAGATAGGAAATACAATTGATAATACCAAAACATGTTTAGATATTGAAGAGGTGCATGATCGAATCAGGAAAGCAGTTCTTACAGCATACCAGAAGAACTCTCCAATGAAAGCTCAGACCAATAACAGACAAACGCCATGGTGAAGCAGAAAATTGGAAAAATTAAGAAACGAACTAAGGAAGATATCAAATAAAGCTAAAGAATTGGGGAACTGGGAAATAAAAGGGAATCTTGGAGGAGGTTCTGCCAGAGTATTATAGATCTACCTGCCAGCTCTAGAATTCATAAGATATTATCCAAGGATTAAGCCCAGAGACCAAGCCTAATTAAAAGAACTGATGGCATGTAGGAAACGCTAGAACTCTTATTGCAGAACTACTTCCCAGGTTCAGCAATTATTAATGACCAGACTCAGGCTGAAAACCTAGATCGAGCCAAACGTTTTAGGAAAGCAGACTCTGCAGTAAACATCAACCTATAAAGTGTTACGTGGGCCATACACCACTTTGCTCAATTTAAATCTCCAGCCCTACTACAAGATGGATTAGAGATCCTATTGCCCATCCTAACAAAAATCTTTTGAGATAGCATAGCACTAGGTTATATATCAAAGACCTGGACAACTGTATGGGTAGTGTACATACACATAATAGGACGACAGGACAACGTCCTACCTAAATCCTATAGGTCGATCAGTTTTACATAATTTGTGTTGAAAATAATCGTAATATTCTCGATAGATATATTAAGGTGGGGCTATTGACGAATTACCGTTTCAATAGCAACCAGCATGCATATCAGAAAAAAAAATCAACAGAAAC